TTGGTTTTTCGGCTGAGGGGAGGCCGGCAGGACAAGGAGTGATTCTCGCAGCGGCATATGCCAATGATTTTAATAAATATTTTTTTACGTAATATTATTACGGAACATAAATTAGGTTTTAATAGTCGTTTGATTACCCGAAGAGCTGCCGTGTGCGCGGGGATGGCCGCGCTGGGAGGAGCACAGCCGCCGAGGAAGCTTCGGCTCCGCTTCCCATCTAAACTTCCTTGTCAGCAACGGGACGGAGCAGAGTGTCTTTCCTTCCCTCCTCCCCTTCTCCTGGGTGCGGGTAACCCCCACTTCACCCCAGAAGTGATCAAGGCCCCGTGTACCCTCCTGTGTCCCCCCAACTACCTCATACCGACATCTGTATTGATATTTGAATACGCAGGACAAAGCCCGAAAAACCCAAACCGACGAGTGGCCCTGGGGGGCGTAAGCGATGGGCTTGCCGGGTGTGAGGAGCAGAGGGCTCTCCCCGACTGCACGAGCCGTCGCTGAAGGCAGCGCAGCCACCGCAGGGCGCTCGGAGCCCGACTCGCAGCGCTGCCTCTTCGCAAGGCGTATTTCGGTGGCTTGACAAGGCCGAACATTTTTACTTTTTTGCACTACATCCTGGCTGCTGACACACTCGCCTTGGCTGTCCCGGTTTGGCGAGCTGTGCCCGGAGACCTGCTGTCCGCCGACCCCACACGGGCGGCTCCGACGGCCCGCGCGGAGCGAAACTCTGGGTCAGCAGCCCGGGAAAGTCATCTCCCGGCGGCTCTCAGTCCCTCCCTGAACACATCTGACAGCCCAAACCGCTCCCGGGGATGAAAATAAAATAAAATTAAAAAAAAAAAAAAAAAAGGAGAAAGAGAGGGGGAAAAAAACCTCGAAGGAGAAGTGTAAGCTCTCGGGCATCACAACTTTCTCCTCTCCAGGGTTGAATGGAGGCTGCTAAAAAGACGGGAGGCGCAGAAGGACACGACCTACGGCTCAAAGCAGCCGAGCTCAGCTCCTAGTCATTGCGCCTCCACCTCCGTACCGAAACGCCCCGTTTTGTCACCCTGTAATGAGCTCCCAGTCAGACACGCACCGGAGAGAGAAGGGTGAGCCCGAGTAAGGCAGGAGGCGGAGGAAGCTGTGATCTCGCCGTGTAACTCTTACTAAAGGAGATCCTGCCTTGCAAGTTATTTGGGGAATATGCACATCTTCACCCTTTTCTTTCAGCCCAGAGGCTTCCTAAAGTGTTGGGTGGCTTTGTAGCTTTTTTTCTGTTGTTTTGGTTTGTGTTTTGGTTTTTTTTTTTTTTTTTCTGTACGGGGGAGCCCAGCTGGAAGATATCCTCCTGGTCCAGTAACTCGCGGATGTTTTAAAAGCATTTGTTTTGCAGTCGTCACTCAGCCCATCACATGAGTTACAGCAGGTTTCAGAAAGCCCTTGGCATAAAAAGGAAACAGCTCGTGCAGTTTCAACACGTTTTATTATATTTCTGTATGCATTACTCTCAAAACATATCACAAGAAATGATGAAACCACTTAAACCTTCAAATAAAAAATCTGAAACAGTTTATGCTCACAATTGTACATATTTATAGTTAAGAAACATTCTTTATAAATACTGTTTCCTCTGTAGCAAGTTAATACCATAATTTAATTACAAATGGATAAATATGGTAACAGGTATTTACAGGAGGAAGGGTGTTATTACAGAAAAGCTAACGGCACAACGTTTATTTTTCCTCACAATCTTCCGAACAGGAACTAACAAATTGAACTTGCAAAAGCACTAAAACATCACATATAAACCCAGCTAACAGAAAAATACATTCACAAGCGTTGTTGTTTGTGTGAGTGTCTGTAAGTAACAGAATGGAGACTTTGGCACGGTATTTCTTCCCCAGTCTATAGTTGAAATACAGTTTACAATCAAGTTGCCTCTTAAAAAGGAACACAATATTCAAGATATCACAATTACAAAAGAAACATTTTTTTTCTTCCATGTTACTTTTTTTAAAAGGGTGAACTAAAAAGGAAGAAAAGAGGGAGGTGGGGAAGGAGACCAGGACAAAAGAAAACAAGTCCTTCACTTTCTCAGGGAGGGAGGAAGATGGGAAAAAAAAAAAGACTTAAAAAAAAAAGAAAAAAAAAGGAAGAAGAAAGGGACCAATCCGCGGTTTACAAACGGGACGAACTTCTATACACCGAGAATCCAGGAAAATCTCGTTCCCCACCTCGCCGGAGGAAGGAGAGGGCCGCTATATACACAGTTCGTAGGGCGGGAGGGCGCTGGCTGCTTCGGGCGGGGAGGCGCAGGGGCCGGAGGAGTTTGAGTCTCTGATCTTTTGTCTGAAGGCTCTGGAGGGAGAGTTTCTTTCCACCGGCTTGGGAAGCTTTTTATTGGGTGATGTGTTGGTGGCGTTTGGGGTTGGTCTTTTCCCCTCTCTCTCTCTCTCCCCTTTCCGTTCCTCTATAGATTTACCCATTCTTTTATGTTTTTCGGCACGTACTTTTTAGAATATTTTTTGCTGGTTCGAAACGTTCTCAAAAAGAAAAAAAAATTAAAAATCCAAGAAAAAAAAAGACGCGAAGGCGGGAGGGTGTGGGGAGATGAAGGTCCCCCGTCCCCATCCTGTTCGGCCGTCATTTCGCTGCTGGCGGGTGCGGCGGCACCTCCCGGTGCGTCTCCGGCGGGCTCGCTCGCTCCCTCCTGCCCGCCGCCGCCGGGGCGGGGAGGGCGCTGCGGGGCCGTGCAGAGCAGTCCGGCGGGGCCCTACACGTACCACTCATTGAAGTTGGAGGAGAGGCCGCTGTGGCCGCCGCCGCCGCTGCTGCCGCCGCCGCCGCCGCCCCGGTGCACGGCGGACACGGCCGCCGCCGCTGCCGCTGCCGCCGCCGCCGGGGAGAGGTTGCTGGTGTTCTGCGACTCGGCGCTAGGGGACACCAGCCCCGGCGGGGTGGAGGACTCGTAGCCGGAGCTGGCGGCCGGGGAGGATTCGGAACCTTGCGGGGACGACTCGTGCACCTGGGGGGCAAAGGCAACACGGCCGTGTGGAGGAGGGATGGGGAGGCCGCGGCCGCCCCCCGGGCGCGCCCCCCGCCGCCGGCCCGGCCCGCCGCCGCCCCTGGGCCCCGCGCCCGCCGCCCGCCGCCCCGTCGGGGCGCCCGGCGCGGCGCGGCCGCCCTCCCGCCTCCCGCCGCCTCCTGCGGGGCCGGGTACCTTCATATGTTTCCGCAGGGAGCTGGGGTGCGTGTAGGACTTGTCGCACATCTTGCACAGGTAGGGCTTATCCGAGGTGTGGACGTGCATGTGCTTCTTGCGGTCGCTGCTGTTGGCGAAGCGACGGTCGCAGCCTTCGAACTCGCACTGGAAGGGCTTCTCCCCTGTAAGAGAGTGGCGCAGCTGCGGGGTGAGCGCGATCGCCCCCACTCAAACCCCGCGCAGCCTCGGGCCAACTTTCCTCCCCACTTCCCCCCCCTCACCCAGTCACTTCGTCCAGCAGTTTCCCAAAGCAAGAGGCCGGTTCTGTCCCGGTACCCGCAGCGCGGGAGGGCCGCGCTGCTCACTCTTTGCCCTGCAGGGAGGCAACCCCCGTCCCCCACCTGGTTTTCCTACCAAAACACCCCGGGCACCCCCGTCCCGGCATCTTGCCCGATTTTAATTCGACCAGTGCCGACACACACAGTCAGCCCCGAAAGAGACTGAAGAAGAAAGGCGATGATTAATAAAAAAAAAAAAAAAAAAAAGCGAGCAGCATCGAGACGTTTCGCCTCGGTACCAAATCCGCTATCCTGTTAAACTGGAAACCATTAACGACAGATTTAAGGCCGGGCATATTGTTTCGTGTATGGATATTCGAGATAAATGCACATCCGCTGGGAAAACTAAACGTCTGTAAAATACTTCATCTAATTTTCATAGGGATTCCTCTCACCCGGCTGCCAGGACTCCAAATGCCGGGGAGTAATTTGGAGGTGAGAACTCCACATCCCCCCGCCTTTGGAGGGGGGAAGCATTTAACATTAAATTCCATTAGCACCCAAATTGTTTCTTAAAGACATCCGCTCAGACACAATGACTTCAGTGCGGGCATCTCATGCAAATACATTTCTCAAATTTTAAACCTTGTTAAAGCTCGTCTCGCACCTCGCATCGGGCTTAGCACTTGAGAAAACAATAGGCCTCGAGATTTTTAGCCTTTCTCCGGGTAAATATTTAGAGTGCAAGTCGCTAAAATATTTGGCTGTCTTTTATGAAATAGTCTGGCACGGTTTGAGCCGGCAGGAGTAGTAAATGAATAATAGATGAGGCGGGAGGATGCGTTAATTTTTGTTACCCTTCGGCTCAGGCTATTTTCCATCGGGAAAGCCAGGGCTCCCTCGACCCTCTTCCACCTGATTGGGGTGGAAGTTTCCGAGCCTCAAATCCTCTGTTACTTATTACATAATTTAATAAACTGTTGCAAAAACACCTTAAATCACATCGAGTGAGACTTTAAAAACATTTTTTTTTAAATGAGAAAATTTTATTGCCTTGCTCACAGCATTTAAATTTAATGGAAAGCATTTCCAGAAAGGGACTTTTGGCACTTCCAACGGGATTTGGGACTAATGACGGATTTTGCATGTATTTATATAGTTTCTCTCTCTCGGTATCCATACATAAAAGCCGTACTCACAAGTGCTGAATTGTTTGCAAATACGTTGCGTATAGCAAATGTATAAGGCGTCTCATGTGGATGGATGGATGGATGGATGGATGGATAGATAAAAAGATAGATAGGTGTCTTCCCGTATTTTAGCAGGACGGCAGAATTTAGTTTGCGCTGTATTCCGCGTTTCTGCGGAAAGATCCCGCTGAGACTCGGCACGAATCTACACCTCTCACCCCGCAAATTAAAACAAATCAGTAAAATATCCTTTCGAAATCTGGGATGGAGGGAAGTGTATTCTGGTGGGGACGAAACCAAAACAAAAGCAGCTGTGTGATAGAGTGTGTATATGTGGGAAATTAAACTGGAAGCTTATTTTATCTCTCATCATTTTACATCACTGTCTGAGTCTCTATCGGTTTATACATATATATATACATATATATACACGGGCAGAGGGGGGAAATCTGCCGAACGAAACCCGAATTACCTGTGTGCGTCCTTTTGTGAATTTTGAGATTTTCTGATCTGGCGAAAACTTTTCCGCAGCCAGGAAAGGGGCAGGGGAAGGGTTTCTCTCCCGTGTGCACTCGGATATGATTGACCAGTTTGTATTTCGCTTTGAAGGGCTTGCCTTCGCGGGGACACTCCTCCCAGTAGCAGACATGGTTGCTCTGCTCGGGTCCCCCAACGTGCTCCACCGAGACGTGGGTGACCAACTCGTGCATGGTGCTGAAAGTTTTATTGCAACTTTTTTTGGGGTTGTTCAGCTGCTCGGGGTCGATCCACTTACAAATGAGCTCTTGCTTGATGCACTGCTGCCGCATGTATCGGAAAAAGGCACCTGGGTGGTGGTGGTGGTGGGCTGCCATGTTCATGCCCATATTCATATTCATGGGGCCATACTGGTTGTGCAGCTGAGCCGCCGAGTAAGGGTCAGTCCTGGGGCTGGAAACCTGGCGGTACTGATCCGAGCGGGCGAATACCTCCCCCGGCAAGCCCAGTCGCATCTGTCCGTTGAGGACGTTTTGGGAGGCGTGGGGGCCGTGCTGGTCGTGGATGCCCGGGAAGAGGAGGTGGCTCTGAGCGTCCGTGTGCGGGTGGTGCAGGCTGCCGGCCGCAGGGCCGAAGATGCCGTGCTGTCCGCCGGCCGGCGACGAGTCCCCGAAGCCCCGGCTGCGAAACAAGAAGTCCCGTGTGGAGTTGAAGGGCGCCCCGGAGTAGGAGCCGACATGGGCGGCGTGGGGCCCCAGGGCGGCGGCGGGATAACCGGGCGCCTGCGAGGTGAACGCCGAGCTCTGCCCGGGGGAGAGGTCGTGGGCGCCGGCGTTGAGCTTGAAGGCGCCCATGTGCGCCGCTGCCGAGTCCACGAAGCTGTTCTGCGCCGCCAGGCTCAGCTCCCGGTCCTGCATCTCCGCCGCGGCCGAGTGGTGGTGCCGGGCGAAGGTGCCCACGCCGAGGGCCGGGAACTGCGGGCCGGCGTCCAGCAGCATGGTCCGCGCCGCTCCGGGGACGCAGCCGCCGCCGCCGCTGCCGCCTCCCCGCTACCGCCGCCGGGCTGCCGCCGCCCGCCCAGCCGGGCGCGGGGCCGCCGCCGCTCCGCTTCCCCCCGGCAGCCGCCGCGTCCCCCCGCCTCCGCCGCCGCCCGCGCCCGCACCGGCCCGATGCCGCCGCTGTCGCCGCCGGCGGAGCCGTATCCTGAGCCAGGCAGAGCAGAGTCCAAAAGCGAGCGGAGAACCAAAGTGTATTAAAGGAGCTGAGGCGGGGGCGGGCAGGGGAGGGGAGGGGGAGCAGGGGAGGGACGGGGCTGGGGACGGGGCGGGGGGGCAAGGCTCGCCTCGCCGTTCCCTGCGGCACACACGCACGCACACACACACTCACACACACAGACCCGCGCACACGCCGCCGCCGCCCCCCCCTTCCTCCGCCGCCACCGGGATGTCAGAGCCGCCGACCCCCGCCCGCCCGGCCCCGCGCCGCTCCCCGCGTGGGCCGCAGCCCTTCCCGCCGCCTCGGGCCCCCCGCCGCTCCCGGGCCTCCGCTTCTCGTTTTATCCTCCGCCGGGCATTAGCGGTGTCTCTCACGGAGAAAAACTTGCAGCCGCGGGTTCCCACGGAGCGAAGAGACCCCGGGGGTGCCCCGCGCCTCCCTCGACCGCCTCGGCTGAGGGGCGTGGGGAGGGGGCTGAGGAGGGGGGTGCCGGAGGCGGATTAAAAACAATAAGGGCGGCGGTGGGGGTGGGGAGGGGAGGCGGGGGGCGGGAAGGGGCCGGCGAGTGCCGGAGCCGGAGCGGCGCGGCCGGGGCGGTGGAGTTGCAGCCCCGCTCCGCCCGCGCCCGCGCCCTCGCTGCCTCTCGCTCCTCTGTTTATTTCGGTGGGCGCTACTGAGGCGGCGGCTTTTTATTGCCCCCCTCCCCCCCCTCTTTCTCTTCCCTCCCTCCCCCGGCCTCTCTCCTTATCCCCGCCCGCACTGGCGGCTCCTCTCCCGACGCCGCCTTCACCCGCCGCCCGGCCGCTCTCCCGGCTCCCGCTCATTGGCCCGAGCCGCCCCGTCCATCCGGGCGTCCTCGGCCACCGGCTAATGGCGGCGCGGCCGCCCCGCGCCCTGCCCGCCCCGCGCCCCGCCGCGCCGCCGCCGAGCGCCCCGCGGCCGTGCGGCCCCCGCCTGGCACCGCACCGCAAAGCCCCGCGCCGCGCCGGGGGCCGCCTTCAGCCCCGCACTGCCGGTGGCTTTTTGATTTTTGGGGGGAGTCACCCCTCCACTCTCTCCCCCCCCTCCCCTGCGGCGAGGGGAAGGGGTGGTGTGGAGAGAGGCGCAGCGATCTCGGAAAATATCGATGTACGCTTGGGCATGTGATACTGCCTCGGGAGGCAAACAAACAAAGCGAGGGTCTTAAAAATATAACCCCTGCAGCCCCTTTCCCCATTTCGGCTAAAGCAGATGAATCCCGTGATCGATAACGGGACCGAGGGGGGAATCACATAAAAGTCACGTTGGCGGGGCGACGGTGGCTGGGACAAAAAAAATTAAATAAAATAAAAATTTAAATAAATCAGGCAACGGTCGCCCTGGTTGTTTGGGCTTTTAAACCATTTATGTGGGAGCAGAGGAGTCGATCTGCGATCTGCATGTGTTGTGAATGTGCATCTGAGAGTAGATGCTTTAGGAGTTTTCCTTGTCTCTTCCCTTCCTTGAAAAAGAAACAAAAACAAAACCGCAAAAAAATCCCAACCCCAAAATCCACCCTGCCATTGTTATTTGGAAACCGGATTCTTGCATGGCAGGAATAAAAAAGCATAAAGCCGGCACACACACACACATGCACCCGCAGACACACACAGAGCAAACAAGTCCCCTTCCCCTCCCCCTCCAGTAAATACACGTCTGGCCCCTGCTTCGGTTTGTTTTGTAGTGGCTGAAAAATAATCATCTCGGGGCCAGCAGCTCACCAATAAATAAGGCTCTGTAAAAATCAAAACCCGGCATAACAATTGTCTTCTTAACCGTCCTGCACTTAACCTTGGCGTATCAGTCCCCATCAGTTCTCTGCTTGGCAGAGAAGTGACCCAAAATATAGTGGTTTGTGTGGTTTGAGGGGGGGCTTTTTGAAATTCTCCCTTTGACATTTCTCCTGTGACTCCTCATGACATTAAATCCCGCATTAGGCATAGGCAGGCTCAAACCTGGATCCAGTATCCGAGCAGGGGTTTTACAGTGAGAGATGATAGATAGATAGATAGGTAGATAGATAGATAGATGGAAGGAAGGGAGGAAGGAAGGAAGGCAGGCAGGCAAAGGCACTGCACACCAACTAAGGTCTTCCCCATCATTGTCATTAAATGGTTAAAATATTTCCAAGTCTGTCCAAAAGTGGTTGAAATGTACCAGTACTGGACATTACTCTGTGAACAAGGTGAGGATTTAAACTGGGGAGAAGTGGGATTTCTTCTAATCTGAAATGAGCATTAGAAGATAAACTGAATATTAATGCAGAGCTGCACCTTTGATGCCAACAACTCTTTTCTGTTCACCACTCCGTCATTCGGTCCCGTCTTTGCAGGCAGGGGTGTCTGCTCCCCATATATTGCTTTCCCAGGCTGCAGCTTGGGAGCATATGCTGTCCTTGTCCTGACTCCCCAGGCTCCCAGGGACAGACCTCGAACAAATTCTATTTTCCTTCTCTGAAAGGTTCCCGAGGAGGAGGTCTGAGAGTAGTCCTTCACCGTTGCTGGGGATTTCGAGAGCACTAGTTGGAGAGGAAAAGTTTGGTCTCCTGCGTAGTCTGCCTCCAGATTAGTGAAAAAATCATACGGACAACTAAACGCTTGAATACACTTTTTTTTTTTTACCGATTTAAAAGAAGTTACTAGATCTGAGATCAGAAAAAGAACAAATATGTCCAAGAAAATTCGCAGTTAAAACACCGATAAAAAAAATAACAAAGGTGAATATTCATACAAATACCTACCTTCTGGATTTTCCTTTCTTTCTTTCTTTCTTTCTTTCTTTCTTTCTTTCTTTCTTTCTTTCTTTCTTTCTTTCTTTCTTTCTTTCTTTC